CATTTTTTGGTACATGAAACCCTGGATTGATGAGCCTATAGGGACAGCCAGTAGAATAAGGGTTTTGGGTGGGGGGTGGGGGCACAGTGGTGGTGGGGGGTAAAAGGGAGACGATGTTAAGGAGTCCATGTAGAAAAAGAAGGTTTGGAAACTGACTATGGTAGCAGTTGTGTCACTCTGCTTGACGTGACTGAACTATGGAGTGATAGATGTATTAACTACCAATTAATAATAATGATAATAAATAGTTACAGCCTTGGAAACCCACAGGGGCAATCCTGGCCTACCCCGTTGTGTCACTATGAGCTGGCATCAGCTCGATGGCAGTCAGTTTGATTTGTTTTCCTGAGTACTATAGCCCGTAATCCAGCATAAAGTGTAGGTATCTGCTTTTGAGCCTCCCCCTGCCCCGCATTCCTCGGATGCCCCCCAGGGGTGGCATCACCACACTGGAAAGCACTGGATGGTAAAGGAAACATGGTCAGAGTGTGGCTGACCAGGGCTTATTAATAGGTGGAGGACAACTATTTGTTGTCTCCACGTTTAGTTCCTTGTCTACGTCCTTCTAAGTCTTTTTAGTTCCTAGGAACAAGGTAGGACATAAGTAACGAGTAAGTAGACGTAATGCAGAAAAGACAAAATGCCACCAAAACCTCGTCTTTACTTTGCTCAGTGGCCGCACGTCTGAGTGCCCGCGTGGTACTTTGTCAGGGTTCCTCTCCACTTCCTAGGCGATTCTGTTGGGTAGCGGGATGACCACCTCGGCTGGAAGTCTTCACAAGGAACCACAGTAGGCCACAGGCTGAACTTCCACCCTCTCCAAGGAGGTTCTGCTCACTCTCACTCTTTGCCTTCTGTCCTGCCTTCATGCTGCCTCCTTGTGGCACACTAAGCTGCTAGCCAAAAGGTTGGTGGTTCAAACCCACCAGCTGCTCCACAGAGGAAAGATGACATAGATTCTCAGAACACAAAATTTCTGAGAGTTGATTTACAGAGAAACAAAATTCCCCAATGAGTCAAGGAAGAGAGTATTAGGATACCTTGCAGATTGCCCTTGGGGGAAAATTTGTTTCTTGTTAACTTTGCAGCTAGCTTTTTTCTTTTTTCCCTGTGCCTTTTATTCTAGTTTGCCGAACAGCAGGGCACGTTTCACTGCTCAGTGTTAATTGTGATACTTACTCCTCACTGTTCAGAAGTGTTGTCATTGTTTCTGTTAGGTGCTGTCCAGACAGGTCCAGCTCAAAGGGACCCTACGTACAGGAGAGCAACACACTGCCCGGTCCCACTGTCCATCCTTGGGTTATGTTTCAGACCCTTGTTGCAGTCACTGGGTCAGTCCGTCTCCTTCAAGGTCATCCTCTTTTTTGCTGGCCCTCTGCTTCACCAAGTGTGATGTCCTTTTCCAGTGCCTGGTCTCCCCTGAAACCAAAGAGCCTGAGATGAAGTTTTCCTGTTCTTTATACCAAAGAGCCTTCTGGCTGCACTTCTTCCAAGCCAGATTTGTTTGTTCTTTTGGGGATCCCTGGGCTTCGGGTGTTCACTATGCTGCACCAACACCATCTTTCAAAGGCATCGCTTCTTCTCCCCTCTTTCTTCGTCATTCTCCAGTTTGCATGTGATGGAAACTACCGTGGCCAGACATGGCTCGGTCCTCACCATGACGTCTTTGCTCTTGAACACGCTCGAGAGAGAGCGCTTGCACGGAGGACCGGCCCAGTGCAGCGCCTTGTTTGAGTTCTTGACTGCTGTTTCCATGGCGAACCAAGTAGATGACGTTCTTGACAGCTTTGACCTTTCCTCCATTGATTATGAGAGTTCTGTGGATCCAGTTGTGAGAAGTTTTGTTTTGTTTTCTTTACATGAAGGTGCAATCCATACCGAAGGCTGCAGTCTGTGATTTTCATCAGCAAGTGCTTCAGTCCAAAAGCAAGATTATGTCACCTGCATATTGAGCGTTATTAATAAGCCTTCTCCTAATCTTCATATAGTCCAGTCCCTAGGATTATTTGCTCAGCATACATATCGAATAAATATGGTGCAATGACACACACCTTTCCTGATTCTGTGGCATCCCCTTATTCTGTTCAAACCATTGCCTCTTGGTCTATGTCCAGATTCCGTAGGAGCACAATGCAGTGTTTTGGAATTCCTGTTCCTTGCAATGTTATCCGTAGTTTGCTGTGACCCACACTGTTGAATACTTACGCTTAATCAAGAAAACACAAGTGAACATCTTCCTGGTGTTCTCTACTTTTAGCCAAGACCCATCTGACGTCAGCAATGACGCCTTGTTACACGTGCTCATCTGAGCATGGCTTCCATCTCTGGCTGCTCCTCGCCGGTGACCTGCTACAGTGCTACTCACTGATCTTCAGAAAGCTCTGACTTGCATGTGATGTGAATGATCATTTCCGAATCCTGTTGGATAACCCTTGTTTTGGGAATGGGCACAAACAGGTTTCTTCCACTGGGTTGGCCAGGGAGCTATCATCCAAATTTCTTGGCCTAGACAAGCGAGTGCTGCCCGTGTTGCATCCCTTGTTATAACAGTTCAGTTGCGCTCAGTCAGTTCCTGGGTTTTTTTCCCCCTTCACGAATGCCTCCAGTGCATCTTAGACTTCTTCTTTTAATGCCATTGGCTCGTGATCATGTGCTACTTCTTGAAACGGTGGTACGTTGACCAATTCTTTTTGGTGCAGTCACCTTGTGTATTCCTCCCATCTTCTCTTTATGCTTCCCGCATTGGTCAACGTTTTGCCCGTAGCATCCTTTGATGTTATAACTCAAGGCTTGAATGTTTTCTTCATTTCTTTCTGCTGGAGATCTGCTCAAGCGCTTCCATTAGGGCTTTCCCCCTCTAGGCTAGATTTTTGCCTGCTTCCTTGTGTGTTAGTCTGGGTAGACTAGAGAAACAAATCTAGGGAAACTCATATGTGTGAAATAGAGAACTTTATATCAAAGAGTAATTGTTTAAGAAAGCATCCCAGCCCAGTCCAGATCAAGTCCAAAAGTCCAATATTAGCCCAGATGTCCGATACTGATCTATAAATTCCTCTTCAGACTCACACAACATATGCATGACCCGAGTGCAGGAGGCTCCCAGGCCAGTGGGCGGAAAGTCTCACGGATCCAGTGGCAGTGGAACCATTGCAGCACTGGCAGGGGTCTCCCCTTGGCTCCTCTCGCTCCAGGGCAGTGGCTCTGTCAGCATAGCTCCATGTAGCTTGTCAGCAGGAAGACGGAGCAGAGAGATTTTCTGGCCTCCAGTGAGCTATTGATCTCCTTCTTGTCTCCAAATGAGATCATCAAGCTGTGATCTGATTGACAGACTAAACTCCACCCCTTTGCAAGTTGACAGGAGATTATGTAACTGCCACACCTTGTAATTCTTTATTTTGTCGTCTCTGGCTGCCCCTTAAATGTTTCTGTTTTTCTCTTTGACTTCATCATTTCTCCCACATACTATAGTTAACAGCAGATTTCAGACTCTCTTTTGACATCCACTCTGGTCTTTTCTTTCTTTCCTGTCTTTCTAATAACCGTTTGCTTTCTTCGTGTATGATGTTCTTGATGTCCTTCCACTGCTTGACAGGACTTTGCTGAGTAGTGTTCAGTGTGTCAAATCTGTTCTTGAAATTTAGGCAAAATGAACTGAAGGTTGTATTTTGGTTCTTATGGACTGGTTACAATTTTCCTCAACTTCAACCTGAAGTTATATATGAGCAATTGACGGTCTGCTCCACAGTCGGCCTCTGGCCTTGTTTTGACTGATGCTATTGAGCTTCCCCACTGTCTTTTCCTACTGACATAGTCACTTCGGTTTCTGTGTATTCCATCTGTTGAGGACAACATACTGTTTTAAATATATATATATTTGTAATGAAGAAATTGTAGGTTAAAAAGAGAGAGAGAGAGAGAGAGAGAGAGAGAAGTTGTAGGTCTTGCAAATTTCCAGCATGACACCTCCCGCTTGCTTTCTGTCACCACGGCCATATTGTCCAACTACGGATCCTTCCTCCTTGTTTCCAACGTTCACGTTCCATCACCAGAATTCTCAGTGCATCTTGGTTGCAGACTTGGTTGATTTAAGATTAAAGAATTTGGTAGAACTCTTGAATTTCTTCAGCACTAGTATTAGTGGTTGGTGGGGCCCTAAGTATTTCTGATTGAAGTGCGACCATTTCCCCCCTCCTTTTTTCTCTTGACTCTCCCTCAGAGGCTCGTCATGGAGTTCAATAATGATTTGAGAGGCCCTTTGACCCTCTCAGAATTCCTTATGGTCTTGTCTAAAGCCCATATGCTCCCTAAAATCATAAAGTGTCAAAAACTTATCAGTAAAGAATGATGTATCCCACTCATGCCTGGAGGATCTAAGTCACCGTGACGCAGAGAAGATTCGCATTTCATCTCTGGTACAGGACCTGAGATAAGGCATAGTTGGGTGCAACATTTCATGTCTAACTTAATCCTGAACTTGACATTCCTTATGTGTCAGAGGAACCTGCTTCCAACAATTGAAGGGCCAGAAGGAGCAAAATGTATGGTGATAACATATATATATAATTATAATGTATATAATCTTTAATATATAAAGATTCTAGTAAAGCCATAGAGGATAAGAAAGATAGGAGGAAGCATGAAATAAAGGAGTCAGACACATTGTATGGTAGCATGCTCACCTCAGCTCCTCTTGATGGACCACGTGGAAGTGGGAGAAGTGAGAGAGAACCTTTACTATCTTGGGACATTTATAGGTAGCCATAAGACATTGCATATTCAGTGGTTACATGCATCACAAGGTGGGCAGTATCTGCGTTAAGGTCCCTGAGCTCACAGGTGAGGAAACCTAATACTTGCATTGGGGGAAGGTATAAGGAGGGGCTGGGTGACATGGCGGGAAGAGAGAAAAGGATGTCTGCTTCTATAGGGAGATATAATCAACCATGTGCTTGTAAGAGGTAACTTTAAGGTAGCACTATTATGGGAGGGTATAGTGGGGAACAGTATTAATTATGAGAATGTGATTGGGACTTACCTCTAACTCACAAGGGTGAAGGCCTCCCTCCACCCCAGAAACCCAGCCTGCCAGGCTTCTTAATCGATGAGACTACAGGATTCTTCTGTATACTCTGTCTTCCCGTTCTCTGCTCCCCACACTTAGGGTCAGCTGAAATCCAGCTTCTCTATTAGCTACGTCTTCCTCTTGTCTTTAGCACATGTGAATGCTGTTTTAATATAACATGTATTAAACACACACACACACACACACACACGGGGGCTTCAGAAAGTTCATGGAGAAATTCAGTTATCTTTCAGTTCCTCCCCTCCTTGAACTTTTTAAAGCTTGCTCACCCAAAAGTTAGCCATGTGAACCCATGACTACGTGGGAGCAAGATGAGGTTGTCTCCTTTTGTAAAAATGTAAAGTCTCAGAAATCCACAGGGGCAGTTCTGCACTGTCCTGTGGGGTTGCTATGAGTCAGAATTGATTTGATGGCAGTAAGTTTGAGTTTTATACTATAGAGAGCTTACATAACCAAAACTAAAAACTGCAAACGCATTGCCATCGATTCAATTACGACTCATATTGACCTCCCGGTGGGTTTCTGAGACTATCACTGTTTACAGGAGGAGGAAGCCCAGTCTTTATGCTGTGGAGCTGCTGGTGGTTTCGAACTGCTGACCACGTGAATCACAGCCCAACATGTAACCACTATACCACCAAGGCTCCTCATAGCTTATATTACACACATACACACACACACACACACACACACACAGTGGCAATGATTTTTAACTCAAACTCACTGCCAGTTTGAGTTATATATAATGTATAACATATATATATATATATATAAAACTGCCATCGAATCAATTCTAACTCATTATATATAATTATATATCTATTAAATGGTAAGGTATCTTACCATTTGAATGATGATAAAACACACCGTATAATCAAGTCTTCTCATGTCCCTGATGACAAAATTCCTATTTATAGCAAGTCACTTCTAAGTAGTTGCTTCCCTCGAGTCTCTTGGCCACATGGTAAGCCCGTAGTGGAGCACATTTCAGAAGAAACCGGCACTGAAGGTTCAGAGCACTGCGTGTGAGGGCACTTAGGTGTCACTCCAGGAGTAGCTGGGCCACGTGCGGTCTGGTGCGGCGTGTTCTTCTGGCTCGCCCACAGCTCCTGCTCCTGCTGTGTCTGGGCCTTGTCTTCCAGGTTTCACTTCCATGGACCCTGCGGAACTACGCTTCCTGAAGCCCTTGCCCCCCATGAAGCGGAAACACTTTCTTAATCGCCTGGGAGGGAAGAGCAGACCGTGCATCTACCCGCTGGGCCACAAATGGAGGAGAAGCCATCCTGTGACTGGTGAAAGTGGTAGAAGATCGCACAATACCCTGTGATCCCCCGCTGGAACCCGACCTGTGGACAAGGGATAGAGGCTGAGAACCAACAACAGCAAAAAGGCTTAGGAGTCAGAGATGGGCAAAGTTAGTGCGTGTTCTGTTTGCTTTGAACTCAAATAAGGGAGACTCTGAAGCTGGGTTGGTTACTGGGGGTGAGGAGAATGTAATTAGATTGTCTTTTAAAAAACACTTAATCTGGATGATATATTTGCCCTTTGGGGTGTGTGCTATTTGGACAAAGAAAGAAGTAGATATAGAAGGTAAATATTGCTAGTCTTCAATCTGATTTTTGCACAAGGTTTGGTGGAAAATTAAAAACCATTCGATGCAGTTTGTAATTCATTTTCAGCCCATCAGCTGTCTTGGTCAACCGCTTCTTCCTTCGGGCTGGCCTTGCGTGGCTGTCTTCCCTCCAAGAATATTGAGGAAGAGACAAGAAAGAAGGTAGAAAATTAGAATGTGAAAAGGATGTTCGGTATAAGGAGATCAAGGATAAACAGAGCTGCCTGGGGCTTCTCAGTAGCCAGGGCGGGAAGGGGGACGGGCTGGCTGGTTGTCAGCACCACCACCACAGAAGCACGTGGTCTCCGCCAGGCTTTCCCACACACGGAATTCGGAGGGGAATTTCCCCCCTGGCTCCCTGGTATCATTAGATGAGGCGGGCTCCAGCGACACGTACCTGAGCCACATCACCTCAGTCCCTTGCAAAGCTGCATTTAATATTACACCCTTGCCATTTGTACAAATAAATGGTGCAACATTTTCATTTAAAACATTGTTTGATTGCAAGGCCTAACTTTCAATAAATCCCAGAGGCCATTTGGGGAGGGAAGGGAGATGTTCATTAGCTCAGTTTTAGGGGGACCAGACAGGCTCCAGTCACTCTCTACGTCGTCGTCCTGGGTGGATTAAGGGTTATGCACAGAGGGGACTGGGAGTACTTGCAATCAAGTTTTTATGATACGTATAATGCAATTTTTTTGCCCTTTATAACTCAAAATAGTTCCATATCCAGTATACCTTTGGTCGAAGACCAAAGGTTGCTATGTTCTGGAAAGGAACCAGAATAATGCAATATATATATATATATATATATATATAATTTCTATCATGCATTTTGTTTGTCTTTGACTTTCTCAAAGTCAACATACACACTTTTCTAGTGTTTGCAATGATGCAAGTCGACATACTGCCTCAAGAAATCTGGTTGTATTTCTGATTAGTAACTTTTATCTGACCAGCATGGCCCAGCATGGGTTTTTGTACTTCTGCTTCTACTGGGCGCTTTTTATTGTTAAAATAAAAAGCTTTGGGTTGTTAGGTTTTGAAATTAGCTTCTGAGAAAATGAGAGCATTAACCATGTGAACTGGAATTATTCGATTTAACAAATGTTTACTGGACATCTACCATCTAATCTGAAAAACTCAAACTCACCATGGAGTTGATGTTGACTCATGGTGGCCCAATTGGATAGAGTAGAACCGCTCCTGCGAGTTTCCAAGAGGGCAACTTTTCACTGGGATAGAAAGCCTCCTCATCTTTCTCCTCTTGAGCGGCTGGTGGTTTTGAACTGCTGACCTTGCAGAGTAGCCCGACTCATGTAACCCACTTAGTAAGATAGACTTTGCCCTTAAAGAATTTGTGGAATGGTTGGAATAACTGGTGCACAATTGTGATGCAGAATAGAAAGTACAGTACAGTAATACAAATCCAAACGGTTTATAGGAGGGTAGAATTAGGGGCAGCAGGGTCTGAAGTTAAAGTGCTTGAGAGGATTTAAGAATGGGTAAGTGTTTTAAGACCGTTAAGAACCTCTAGTCTCTTACTGATAATGATGCCTGTTCTTTAATATTATGTAAATGTGACATTTTGAAACTGAAGCAATCCCTGCAAGCAACAAATTATTCATCACAACCATTTCAACACTTACTGGGAGCGCAGCTTTATTGAAAAGGCTTCTGCTCTCGGAGCTCCGAAGGCTATGTGGGAACTGTATGCACTTGTAGCTACTGACTCACAAATTCATGTTGAACTGTAGTAAGGAAACCCAGGACGGCCTGTGTAAGAATCCTATTTGGGGAATGAACAGCATACACATGCATGCTTAAGAAAGTTTGTCATAAAGCATTGTATCAACACAAAAGGCCACATATGTTAAACTAAATACGCCAGGAAAAATTATATATGTATGTATACACACAGAAACAGTACTGCGGTTCTGGGTAGTAATGTTTAAGTCACTTATTCTTTCAACAAATTTATTCCGCATGTGCGAGGGGCCAGATTGCTCGAGGCCCGGGTCCAGACCAGGTCCGGTTGGGCAATCCACCCATGTTACCCCAGTCTATAGAGGAACCCGGACAGAGGGATGGCCGGGGAGCCCGGGACACGGCCCCGTCGATCAGTTGGTTCCTGGTGACTTCACCCAAAGGTGTGTGCTGTTTGCAGAGAAGGGAACTGCATCTATAAATACGGAATCGGAGCCAGAGTCGATCCCGCCGCGAAAACAGGCGGCACCTAGCGCCGCGCGGCGATCGTGTTTCGGGCTCCGCGGGCCGGGGGGAGCCGGCAGGTCGCGAGCGCACGAGGATCAGTCACAGAAATCGCAAGAAACGGCGCGCGCCCTCCCTTCCCGGGGACCGCGAGGAGCGCGGGGCCATCGCTAGGTCCCTAAGGATAGCCCCACCCCCTAGCCAGAAGCCACGCCCTAGCCAGAAGCCACGCCCTCCCCGCAGTGTGCGCACGCGCCTCCGCGTGACCCAATGGGATTCCCACACCGATAGGAGGCGACCAAATTCGGTGTCCGCCCGCCTAGAGAGCTGCTTCCGGGGCAGAGGTCAAACGCTCCTGCGCGTCTGGGCCATGGTGCAGCTCCGGCCGCGCGCGTCCCGCACCCCGGTGTCGGCGGAGGCGATGGTGGACGAGGGCCAGCCGGCTTCGGAGGAGGAGGCGGGGCACGGCCTGCTGCTGGGACAGCCGAGCAGCGGCGCGGCCGCCGAGCCCCTGGAGGAAGACGAGGAAGGGGACGACGACTTGGACGACGAGGCGCCGGAGGAGCTGACGTTTGTCAGCGCCCAGGCGGAAGCGAGAGCAGAGGAGCGGCGAGTGCGGGAGACCGCGCGCAGGTGGGGAGCCCTC